TCAGGGGACAGCACTGGCATGGGGGGTGGGGGCAACTGGCCCCAGGGTGCTTGTCTCGAGAGGCGTCCCTGTGGGGAGGGCAAGGGTGCAGGCAGCTCCTCATTCCAGTTGTCTGGGAGCCCCATGCCCCCCGAGCCCAGGTACTGTGGGCTTGGCAGCAGCACAGGAGATCAGCTGGTCTGCAGGAGGTGAAGGGGGACAACAGGGTCTGGAACCATGGCAACAGGCGCTGCCAGGAGCCTGACCTATCGTAGCCTGGGAATGGGGTGGGGGAGGCAGGTTGCCTGCCAGCCCCTAGGGAGCAAGTGAGGATGGGGAGCTCAGATGGTGGCTGTCTGGGCCTGGGCCCCTGCCCAGCTGACTTACCATGGTCCCTGGGCACTTGTGCATGACTGACTCCCAATCTGAGGCCAGACAGCACACAATCCCCTGGTACAGAGCATCTTATCTCAGAAATGTTACAAACTCTCATAAATAGCTTCTCTCATGACTCTGCCGGTCCTGTTTGTCGTGAGGGCAAGAAAGTGTTTTTCTGACAACTGTCTCCAGTGAACATGGTGCTGAGGGTGGGCAACGGGGTTGGCAGTCTGTGGGTGGCTGTCCAGGCAGGCTACAGAAGGGAGTGCAGGAGGAGGTGGTCTGTCAGTGCCTCTCACACCTGGTGCCCTGGCTCCCACTGGTGGGTGTGCGGCTCAGCCAGGGCCTCGTTGGAGGGGGTGGGGAGCACCGCTGTTGCTGCCACTGCAGCTGGTGCTCCTGCTGCCAGGCATTCTCCTCCTGCTGCACCTGTTCTGCCCAGGCCTCACAGAAGAGCTCCTCCAGTGTTACACAAATTGCCAATTGCTCAAATCACGAGCAAGACTTTATAAAGAGGGATAAGGCAAGGTGCTGCGTTTATTGATTACATGAGTTAGACATAGAGGTTCAGACATACCATTCATACAAACACACACAAATCATCATACACATCATTACACACAGGCATACACATACACAAAACAACCATTTTATCCACGCATACACCAGATATAGTTACCAGCAATAGTTGCTCAATATCAGCCCAGGGTGGCCAACCCAGGCTTATTGAGTAGATGGTGATAATTTGAAGATAGCAGATTTGAAGATAACAGCTGGAGCAGGGTGAACAGTTGCATCTGTGCTCCGATGAAACAGCAGTAGAGAAAGAGACTCACCCAACTTGGCATTTTCAAAGTGTTCTTTTATAGGGATTGGCATCCTTTGTTTCAGGGCTTTGGGGTTTTTCCATACCCAGCTTCTGTTTTTGTGGTTGTTCTTCTTTTGCTTTCAGCTTATCTTATCCTTGGAGTGTTTTTGTTGCCCGTCTGGCAGAATTTCTTCTTCTGTTATCTCCTTTGTGCCTTCAAGCTTCAAAGGGATTCTTCAGCCGCTTGTTAGTTAGTTAGTGGTTGGTAACTGACTTTTGGTGCCTTGTTGCTTACATAAACAGTTGAATCTTCTTCTCCCGTCTCTATGACATTCTCTCACCATTCACCTTTCCCCCCC